GCCCCTACAAATGATTTTTTAAAATAAGTATCCATGTGGGCAAATTGACCCAGTGTTAATTATTTTAATTTGCATAAAATAAAAATAGTTTACTGATGCTTAAAATAAAATAGAATAATAACTTGTTTAATCTGTTTCACTTTGGATCCTGCTATTTAGAGGTAAAGTGTTCAATAGCTACATATTTAATCTTGTATTGAAAATATCTTGAATATACCCATATTCCTCTCAATAATAACTACCTAGGATCAATGAAAAATAGCAGGAAGTACTCAGGGAAAATAGTATGTGTCTTTGTTTTCTTCTTAGATGTGAACGTGTACACATCTCATTACAGAGTAAAGAAATTGGTGGTAAATTTTCTGTAAAGGTTAAGCAGCTACAGTTTGAAAGTGTTCCTTATCTCATGGTGAGAAAGGGACAGTAAAGTGGTAGGAGCAGGCAGTTGACTCCTCATCAGTTTACATTTTTGAAGGTGAGCAAGTTAAGGTAGGATAGGAAGCAGGGCCTGACAAGAAACCTTAAGCTTGTCCCAATGACGTTATTCCTCCTCCAGCTTTTTCCCATATCCTAAACAGTCCACAATCTCCAAACAGGCCCATGAACCTCTGGGTGGCACTTCATATCCAAAACATAAAGTAGACTTTCTTTTGCATCTTGAAAATCTAGTCAGATGGGTATGGCACTTTGTCTTTGGGTGGGATAGCTATTGCATTCGGGAATGATAAAGCAAACACTGCCAAGTCCAAGCAAATATTTCCTCCATGTGCTCACAACTGTGCCTGTAAAGTCTGTGGAATAAAAGATCATATTGATGAAATAATATTTTTTCTAGGCCTGGGATGTATCTCAGCAAGAGAGCCCTTGCCTAGACAAACACATATAGTTTTTGTCTTCATAAAATTATGAATCGGGGATGACAATGAATTGTACCTGTTAGTATTATTAATCAAGTAACATTTACTAACAAGAGTGAGGAAATAACATAACAAAGCTATCAACATTTGAAACTGTTGCTGAATTTTAACTGCATATGAACGATTAAGCAAGACATGGGGAGTTTGGGGGCAGAGTAATGTCATCATTCTGAAAAAGAGCCCTCTAAGAAAATGTTGATGTTATGATTTCTTTCCTTTTTTAAAAAAAGGAATATAAAGAATATTTTGTTTATAGGTTCAAGCTATAATACTACAGCTCCCCCAAACTCCTAATAATTTTATTTGTTATTTTGAGACATTTCTCATAGCTCACACTAGTTTGGAACTTGCTATATAGTTCAAGCCTTCTTGAACTTTCCATGTGCCTGTCGGCCACCCAAGAACTGAAGTACAGACATAAATAGACCACCACTCCCCTTTTCAGTTTAGTGGTCTTTGTTCTGCTTCTAACCAGCCAATTTGGAAACAAAACACTCCCAGCTCACGATGTTTATACCTTTAAGTAAAATATAAATGCACCATGGGAACTGAGGAGGATTCAGATGTTCTCCACGGTATAACACCCAATAGGGTTGTGTCTTTTGTTACCCCTGAAGTGGGGCCTCTAATTGCACTAGAGATCCGGCATTGGCTTTATTTAGGATTCTCATTTTTGACTACACATAAGATGTTTTTCTCTTCTCAGACTGTATTGTACTCTCTTCCCTGTGAAATTTTGTGTTACATGCCCTCCTTTGGGAGTGACTCTGCATAAAACTGCCTTGGCCCTCCTCACCACCATTCCCATCCCTGTTCCACACAAGACAATTAGAGCAATAAACAGCAGCAAAAGCCCTAATGGTCTCTGGAAGCCTACACAAGAATATTTCAGAACAAAGCAAATAGAGACTTCAGATGTTTCTGTGTTGTTAACAAAGTTGTGAAATTTGTGGGAAATATGGGACCAGAAAATTCTTTTTAATATTATCCAGATTAATTTTCTCTAATTCTTCATGCCCCTAGATGAACTTTAACTTCATTATAAAACAAAATCTATAGTTGCAGCTCCAGCCTGAGGGTAAAGTCTGTACTACTAATCAATGTTAATTCCCTTGGCCCAATTTAATTACAAAGCAACATTTGGTACAGCTGCTAAACACTTGCCAGGTGACCACAGGATGATATGGGAGCAGGATTTACAGGCCTCCAGTCTTGCTCACATACTTTCAGCACAGCTATGAGTAAATCGTTTACAAATTTGAGCAAACTCTTGAATTTATCCTAAAATTTGCTTGACTTTGCACACCTCTGTAGCTAAGCCTAAGTTACACCTTTGACAAATCAGTATTTTTGTGGTGTGTACAATGTCACCATACTGATGGAAGAGATGTCCCAGGTAAAGGAACACAGTAGTAAGTGGACAATATATGCATACCTCTTAACTGATTCCATTCTTTTTTTTTTTTTTCAGTGATGTAGACACCGGGAAAGCAACCCATATGTATTATGAGTTATCAACTTGTGTTTTGCTCATCACAAAGAGTATTTTGTAATATAACTGGATTTACCCAACATCTCTGCTTTTAAAGAATATCCCATAAAAAGGAAAAGACATGATTACTTTTGTCACTAAAATTTTTCAACTTTACAAAATTAAAGTTAACCACCCATATTTAAATAGGTAAATCTTCCCCTATATAAACTATTTTCAATTTTCATGATAGTCATTAAGATATGTACATCAAACAAGATAGGTTTGATTATTTTATGGAGGCAGGAACTTGAGATTAATTCACTTCTGTTGGAGCTTTTTGCTTCCTTAAAATACTCATTTTGCCATACTTGGGACTTGAATACCTTCCTAGGATTTTAGAAGGGCAAGAAAAGTTATTTGAACCGAGCAAAGAAATTAGGAAGTAGTATCAAAAAGAGAGTTAAATATCACAGGTTGATTTTCAGCAACTAAAACTATAAAGTACAATTAACTCAAATTAGGGTTGGAAGTGTGAGTTTTCAGTCATGTTCAAAGAGATGCAAAGATGATTTATTTATTTTGTTTTGCCTTCCAGTGTGCAAAGCTTAGAATGCCAATCTCTGTCTCCTTTTCTTTCTGTTTTAGTGTAGAACAGGGAAAAGCTAAAGACTGGATGTATCGTACCTTATTGTACTTCATAAAACAAAGCAGAGGACATAATTTCATCACGAATAGTCTGGAGAAATAATCTCTTTTTCCATGGTTCAATTTCAAGCACCAGCTTGGATTCTACCTAGTGTTGCACTATGTGGCTATCATACTTTATTGTACTTTATAAAACAAAGCAGAGGACATAATTTCATCACGAATAGTCTGGAGAAATAATCTCTTTTTCCATGGTTCAATTTCAAGCACCAGCTTGGATTCTACCTAGTGTTGCACTATGTGGCTATCATACTTTATTGTACTTTATAAAACAAAGCAGAGGACATAATTTCATCATAAATAGTCTAGAGCAATAATCTCCTTCTCCATGGTTCAATTTCAAGCACCAGCTCGGACTCTACTTAGTATTGCACTATGTGGCTACTGCAGACCCTGGACAGGATGACAGATCATATTTAAAAGGTGAAAGGCTAATTTCTCAGTGATAGCAATGTCTATTTCCCACCTCAGAGAATTCTTCTTACTCCTGAACAGTTTCTGAGCCACAGGAGGAAACAATTTTGCTTGCTGGAATAAAATAGAATAGAAGGAATTATGATGCCTGCCAGATGTTGCAATGCCCCTCAGGGGGCACCACGATGTTTCTGCATATGCTACAGACATCATAAACTGTCAGACTATGGGACTCTGGGGTTCAATGCTCACACTTCACTGAGATGCAGAGTCATAGAATTTGAGAGTGAGCAGGACCCTTGGAGATGACCCATTCAGAGGGATTAAACTGGAAATTTGAGAGCCCTGTGATTCCAAAATGTGGCTCAAAAATTGCTGAGTATATTTTAGGAGTTGTCTCCCCAAAAGGGGTCATCATTCATAGAAAGACTATAACTGTATTATGTCGGATATCACAACATTTACTAAATACAAACTAATTATAGAATCCAAGGTCATACTCTGACTGACGAAAAGAACTCTGTGGACAGCAACCTTCCACTATCTGAGCTACATCACGGAAGGGAGGAGAAACTAATTTAGATACTCTGTACTTTGTCAGGCCTTGTGGCATGTGGGCTCAGAAACTAAATTATATCATTAGGACAGATCAAGTGGGAATTAAGGAGTTCTAGAGTCATGCCAATGATTTTTTGGTTATTGTTTACATTTAATAACCAAACAAATGATATAATATTACTTAGAAAAATTTGCCTTTCTTTATTATTTTTAAATTTGTTCTTTTAAACATTCTTCTGGTGATTTTAATTTATCTTATCATACCTCATCTGTTCTACTTTCAAAGTAAAAGTACTGAGTCCATTGATAGTGGAATGGGTGGAGGAGATGTGGTAGATATCAAATGGAATATTTTATTTCATAAAGCATAAGAAAATAATAGGATTACATTGTCTGCATGAAGATATATACAACTGAGGATAATTGTTTTATGTGAATTATTGCATGCTTGGAAAGATAAGTATCACAAGTTTTGACTCATTTGGGGATTCTAAATAGTTATATAGAGAAATAAAGTCTTGTATGTGTATATGACACGAGAATAGGAAACAATGTAAGTGAGCAAGGAAGATTAACAAGAGGGGGAAGGAGCAGGGAGAGGGAGAAAGGTTACTAATGGGGGTAAATGCACAGAAAATGTCGTTATGAAACTTAGAACCAGGAATAACTAATACACAACAATGAAAATATTATTAATAAAACATGCAAAACAATCTAGGTAGTTTATGGAATAGCTGTACATAGCAACAATAAGACACACAGAGAGAGAGAGAGAGAGAGAGAGAGAGAGAGAGAGAGAGAGAGAGAGAGAGAGAGAGAGAGAGAGAGAGAGAAAGAGAGAGAGATCTGATGATCTGATTTTAACATAAGGTAAAAATCACTCTCCAGGCTGAGTGTCTTTTCAATGAACTGCGACAAAGCATGTGTCTTACCATCACTGTTGATGCACACAACCTCTTGAACTTGAGTGCCAGGCCCACAGTCTTTTCCATTATCTGGTTCACAGTCTCCGAGTCTCACTGCTTTCCAGTCATAGCAGGATGGCTCTTCACAGGGAATAGCTTCCAGCAAGTGAGGACAGTTTCCAGTTGCCCCAGACCCTCCAGTAGGCTCATTAGTAATGTGCCGCTTCCTTAGTTTGAATCCTAAGTTATTGGGGAAGGAAAGAAATTTATTGTTAATACCACAGTTGTAATATTTCAGAAAGAGGATTTAGCCCCAGAGTGAATGTGGATGAGGGTAGAAGGAAAGAGTCATGAATAGAAGAGCCAGTGTATACATTAACAAATTAAAGCATAATGTGAGACCATTAGCATTTAGTGATAGAAGGAAAATAGAAACGAAGGCAGGGGTGAAGGGGAAGAGAGGGAGGGGGAAAGAAAAAGGGAAGGAAGGAGCAAAAAAGAACTGAGAAAGTTTATGGTTTAATTGTTACCCTCTGCTCTTTTAAAACACTGCATTCTTTCTTTCCCACACTTTAAAGGCCCCTTCTACTGGCTAAGGTCACTTACTAATTGTTCACTCATTATGGTATTCTGAACTAAATATATATTTAAAGGTTCCAAGCAAACATCACAAATGAGAGAAAACATGTCACCTTTTTCTTTCTGGCTCTGGGTTACCTCACTTCAAATGAAAGTTTAAATGATTTGAGGGCATGGGAGGGTAGGATTAACTAACACAAGACCATGTGAAAAAGTCATATGGAAATTGAATAGTGAAGAATTCTCCTAAAATATTTGTGTATACATATATAAAAGACTTTAAATGAAGTTATCCAGTAGTGAAGGGATATTCCAGCTAGATACCACATGCTAGCACAAAATGCCCAATCACAAGAATGACTTTTCTCTTTTGAGCTTGTTGGCCACTGGGTCCTATAGATTTCCAAATGTCACAGGCTATTATCAATGCTCTTGGCTATCATCCAGAATGTGATGGCAAGATACTGTGTCATTGAGTTGTAGTTCAGGAGAATCTAAACTTGTATCGACCTGGAAACTTTAGACTCACACTTGCGTCATGATAGAAGGTGCTACACACAGACCCCAAAGAGAAATAGTAACCATCTATCTTACCCAGCTTTGAACTCTGAAGGCTACAGTATTGGCTGGCCTGGCATGTTATTTCCACTGGTTTAATAGTGGCATAAATACTATGGGAATATTAAATGATTTTCTGAACGGGTTTCAGGCTCACTTCACAAGATGAAACCCATATTTGGCAAGTTACCAAGCTATGTAGGATATAGACCCTAGGAAAGAACCTGAAACTATTGTTCTGCTAAATGGACATAGGATTAGAAGAACTCCTAGTGACTTATCATTGTACCCAGAGAATATATAATCTCTAAACTGTCATCATAGAAGCTTCTGCAGTGGATAGTGATTAACACAGTGTCTCACAACTGGTCAAAGGACAAAGAATAAGAGACTATAGATTACTCTGTTCTAAGTAAGGTATCTGAGCCACACACTCCTCTCCCCAGTTCTAGGATCATTGTAATAGAAGGGCCAGAGGTAGTAAATGACTACAAGGAAACTCAAATGACAATTGTTCCTATGAACTTCTGGCAGTTTTGACAGAATACACAAGACCTATAAAATATCAAGTCAGACAAGGAACACAAAACACATAAAACATAGCTCCCAATTTTACTCATTAAATGGGTGATTTGAACAGGTCATGTCACCATTACATACCTTTTCTTCCTTGTTGGTCATTACAATTTTCATAAGTACAAGGTCCCCAGGCAGACCAAGGCGAAACCTCACATTCAACTGGACAAGGAATGTGGCACAACTGTGTAGTGTTAGGAACAGGACCACTGCATAATTTTGAGTCCACTGGTTTTGAAGCTGTTTGGATAAAAATACAGACATCTCTTAAAATTTAGACAAAAACAAATATTATGGTCCAAACTAGAATCTGTATGTGTGTGCAGAGGAGAAAATTTGAAGATGTGTCATTAAGATATTACTCCAGATTTCTCTCCTATGTGCTGAGAATAAAAGGATGACAAAGGGGATAAATGAAAAAAGCAAAGCACATCCATCAAATAGAACTGTACCGGGACTCTGATAAGTTGCTTGGTTAGTAACTGATGGGCTTTGAAGTTGGTAAAACCAATGCAACTCTCCTCATTATCTAAATAGTTCTTCAGATGAGTCCGGAACTTCTAAGCAGAGTGGTGCTTTAGAGAACTGAACATGGTAGGAAGGGATACATTGCCTCACTAAACAAAAACAAAAATCCAACAATTGGCTCTGGAAGAACAAACTCCTGTTCATTTTGGTCTACTGTTTGGAGATGTGTCCAGTAGATGTAGGGGGGAAAAAGATCCAGTAGTGTTATCCTTGATTTCCAGATTCAAGTTGATCCAATGGTTCCCAGAAATTTTGTCTGCCTTACTATCTACATTCTAAGAGCTGCTAAGGGGCCCAACTTACAGTTATTATGCTTACTTATAAGTTGGTCACAGTTAATGTAATTGTGTGTGTGTGTGTGTGTGTATGTGTGTGTGTGTGTATACACACACATTCATAGTTATATAGAGATCCATTTGTAGATATATAATTGAGATGAATGACCCAGAAAGATATATAAAGTTCCATGGACAGGATAAGAAAATTATCTCTGTGTTTACTATCTATCACTTATTCTTCTATGACACATTGCTTATTATTAAAAGCTATAATTACTTTTGCTTCAAAAATGTTTTGGCTACATCTTCTTTTAGAAAAGACAGTTTTACTCTGACAATTTGGACAGCATGGACTTGTAGAATAAAGGACTTAAATAAATGGTACTGGATATTTTTCACTCTTGTGGGAGAATACTACTAGTTTCCAATTGTGTAAGATTGTATCTAGATACTCATAGGAAAATAAATAATTTAAACTACATAGCTAACATTTAAATGAAAGTACTGAAAATGTACATGTGTTGTTAAAACTCTAAGACAGACTTAAGTAGTTGTGTATCTGTGAAGTTTTCATACACATAAACACATCTAATATAAATGGCTCCTAGAGGATATGGTGTTGACTCCTCTCATGGTTACACTTGACATTTAGAAAAAATATTTCAGGCTTTTTTTTCTTTTTCCTCCAGTAGTGCTTATCCTTCCATTCCTTACACACATCACAGTGGAAAATAATTGACAGGGCACCTAGGCTTTCGTTAGTCTGAAACAAAGCAATGATTCTCACTCAAGTCTAGGAATGTTGTAAGTGCATCTTATAGCAGCCAATGCCAAGGATGATAATTTTATTGCTTTCTAACAGGGAATGTACTCCACATATCATTGACAGAAAATATGGAAATAAATACTTCATGTCTCTGAATGTAAAAACTCTAAAAGAAACTCTAGACATAATGATGCATATTTTCCAAAAAAAACAAAATCTTACTGAAGACCCTAATAGACATAAAAATGTATAATATGAAGTTTAATTCACTGCAAATTAAAATAAATGTAAAGTTTCATTTGTAAATTCTTTCACACAGAAAAACTTTAGAGATTTTGCTTCACAGAGACCAGAACGACTTCTCTCATTTCGGAATGATAATATACTTGCATCATTCCCCCCTTCCTTTTCTTCCCTCTTACCTGTTCTACAAGTCCCTCCTTTCTTGTTTTCAAATTCATGACCTCTTTTATCATTATATAATATACACATATATTCCTAAATATATAAATACAACCTGTTCCATCTATATAATGTTACATATGTATGTTTTCATGGCTGATCATTTGGAACTGAATAACCAACTGGTGTGATCTTTTCTGGGGAAGATAATATCTTCAGATTTCAACACTCTTTAATGACCTGTAGTTCTTGGACTAAAATTGAGGCCTCCTGAGCTTTCTCCATCCATATTAGAATGTCTATTGGTAGCATCCTTGATCGGCTCATGAAGATGGAACTGAAAAACCCCATAACTAACCTAGAAAACTCTAGGGAAAGCCTCACAAGCAAAATGAAACAAAGAGAAGATAAAATATCATGACTTTAAGATAAAGTACAGAAACTAGGTCAAACAAACAAGAATATGAAAAAAAAATTAAAGCACAGAAATTTTCCTTTGTTCAGTTAGATAGCTATTGGTTACTACTGACATGTAGTTGCTAGCAATTGCACTTTTACTCAAGGCTCACTAAACAGGAGAAAATAATATATGGGGCTGGAAACCTAACTGTCTTCCTAGAGCTGGAGAGGTCATAGACCTTAGAAAAGAATCTACTACTAACAATTTTCTAGGCTAACTGCAATCATACCCAAAGGTAAGTGTAGCTACTGTCTCTCATTAAAGAAGGCTCTTTTACAGAGAATGAATGCCATCATAGACAATGGGGAGCCCAGTCCTGATAGATATATCGCTGCCATGGTCGCTGCATCTATGGCTCAGAGAAAATCAGAAGAGGTGATAAGATTTTCAGAATCAAAACACCAGTATGTCTACTATTAAGTAGTCTTTGCTTGAAATGGCTATATTAACAGGGCCTAGTCAATGGTAATATCAATGGATACGTTAACATGGAAGGGACAAGTTTTGTGGGATCCCACCTGTACACAAAGAACTACAGGCAACTAGCTGTAGGATCATTAGATTCACCCAACGATGAGCTCCTTTAATGGCAGTCCAGTGCAGAATAGTCATCCCTGAAAATGTATGCATGCCACCAGCAAGAATGGACTCAGAGTGGTGCATACATACATACATACATATATACATACATACATACATACATACATATAGTTCCTGTACTTTATCTTAATATATATTTATGTATTATATATGTGTGTGTATGTATTTGTACATACATGCTCCTATATTTGTAACAACAGTAATTCAGGATAAAGTTAATCAATGAAAGTGGGGGGCATAGAAGGGGTTTGAAGGAGGTAATCTTGGAAGAGCTGGAAGGAACAAGGGGATGGGAAAAATGGTGTCATTTTTTTTTTTCTCAATTAAAAACATGTTTAAAAAAATACTACCTAAATTGAAAAAGTATGTTGGGAAGGAACAAGCCTTTTACTTTTGGAAATAAATAAAACAAAAATCCTAGATCAATGGCATAGACCAGTCATCAAGGCATAACAAATAAAGAGTATTGAAAGCTGAAAAAGAAACACAAATTGCAACTCCCTATAAAGGAAATTACATTAAAGTAACAGTTGATTTCTCAATGCAAACTTTGAAAGCCAGAAGAGCCTGGAGCAGTGCATTCTAAGTTCTAAAGAGCACAACTGCTAATCTAGCAAAATTATCTGCCATAAGTGATGGAGAAAGAAACACTTTCCATGAAACAAACAGCCTGAAAACGTTTATATCCAGCATGCTCTAACAACTAAACCACCTAAACAGAATATGGGAAGCAACACTCTGGGCTGAATAGAGGAATAAGCATAACAAACAGATTGCAGAAAGAAAATAAATAAAGCAATAAAGCTATAATTATGGAAACACAAAGCACTCCTGAGAACACCAACACCACCAACAAAAACATAACTGTAATCAGCAGCCATTTTTTAATAACACCTTTAAAATTAAATTGCCTCTGTTCTCCAATCAAAAGACACAGGGTGGCTGGCTGGCTCAAGGAAAGAATTCCATTTATATGTTAGCCTCAAACATCCATGGTGGAACAAAGATTGCTTCATTTTGGAGAGTGCTCGGGCTGCTAGGATATCCTGGATAGTGTTGAGATCATAAATCAGGTGTTTGTAAATGTTTCTTATTTACTTTTCATTAGACTACTTAATATTATGAGAGGACTGGGTGGTCTATGGGCCTCTGGTAATAGATCAGTATTTATCCCTAGTATATGAATAGACTTTGGGAGCCCATTCCACATAGAGGGATAGTCCCTCAGCCTAGACGCATGGCGGAGGGCCTGAGCCCTGTGCCAAATGATATGGCAGACTTTAAAGACGCCCCATGGAAGTCTGCTCCCTGGGGAGCAGAAAGGGGATGAGGTGGGGGTTGGTGGCGGGAACAGGGGAGGACAGGAGGGTGCAGGAACTGGGAGTGACATGTAAAACAAACTTGTTTGTTTAAAATTTAAATAAAAAATTGTCAAAAAAGAGTATTTAATATTAAGTGATTAATTCGAGTGTCACTCCCTTAGGAACTATGGTTATGTTTGAGTTTTCCTTTTGGCTAGTTCATTGTAAAATGAAAGTGATTATAGACCCATTTCAAAATCAAAGAGAAAGTCCTTCTAAAATATTCCAATACAGGATATTTGTGCCCCGATTTAAAAAAGAATATTCTTTTCCTGTCCTCATCAGCTGTAGATTCCAGCTTTAATGTCACAATGATGGAAGAGAAGAGGCTGAGGGTGATGAAGGACCTAGCATATCAACACTAAGATTATTTAAATATTTATTAATTTTATTTTTATTATTTTTTAAAAATTGTTTTATTTTTATTGTTTATAATTTTTCTTCATTCTTTTTTATTTACTTTTCTCATTTTACATATCGATCTCAGTTCCCTCTCTGTCCGTCCCTCCCTCCTCCTCTCCCACCCTCCCATGCCCCCTGACCACCCCTTTCCCATCCCATTCCCCCCCCCAAATCCACATGTAGCATGATGCCTTCCTGGAGGGGTCATCTAAATCTGTCAAGTCATTTGGAGTAGGGAAATAGAAGCAGACATCCATAGCTAAATATTGTTTAGAATTTTTATGACAAGGTCTCAAACTACACGACAAGCTAGTTTAGAAACTCACTATGTAGCTCAGGGTAGACTAGAACCCCAGGAAAAGTTCTTCAATGATGAGTTATCAGCAGTGTTTTTAGAGATAGATAAGGACTCCCAAGGCAGTGGAATCTTACATAGAAGAGCA